TGTACATAAGTGTTAAGCGTGCTTGTTTTCTGCGCTGCTGCAGGGTGGGAAGGCCAAGTGATGTTCGGAGTTGTGTTACACTAGATGAGTACCTGTAGTCCCCACATACAAACCTAACTGCCCGTCGCTGTACAAATTCCAACTTCGCTATCAATGTGTTTGATTGTGCATGATTGCGTACCTGTGGGTCCCAGACAGCTTATATCAGGTGCAAAATGAACAAATATATGCCGTAAATTGCAACAAAAAAATATTGGAAAACGATACTAATGTCGGACAATGACAAAATCAAATCCAAAGGTAAAGAATAAATGAAATGTGAAGAAATGAAAATGGATTCTATTATTCGCCATACCACTCATTCTCAGGAAATGTCATCCATGTACTAGTAATCAGATGATGCAAAATGCTTCATCGTTGGCAAATGAATCATTTTGCATGAGACAAAAAGACGGTGTATGTGAAGTTTTCCATCACGTCGGTGAGATCCTGTGTTGAACTTGAAGCCACTCCGAGACGCACGTGTTGGCTGTACTTGATCTTGATGTTCTCGAAGACGCCTTTGTGACGTGAAGAGTGCTTCTCCACCGGAAATGAGCGCTGGATGCCATCTGTGAGGTGGCGCTTTAAGATTGAAAGATCAGCCCTTTGGGAACACACCGCAATTCTCACACATAAGACTCAACATTATGACCCAACAGAGTGCAGCTTATACTTAAAACTCTATACTCTCATCCCTCACTGTCTCTTAATCGCTCCTATGGGTTTGACCTGCAGACTTACAGGAATAGAACTCCAGCAACGGGGAACGTCTCTGGGACAAAAGTCAGAGACGCTTTTAAGGGTAAACTCGTCAGAAAACTTTGACGACATAAAGTTTTAATATACGTTCATAGTCTCACTGGAAAGTGCGATTACCAAGTCGACTTGTCAATATGTGTGCTAAATGTTACAGAATGTTACACAGACAAAACAATTTCAAAAAGCACTTCATGAGTACTTGTTACTTTTATTTAGTTTGACGTTGGCTGGACAGAACTTGTGAAAGTTTCCCTATATTTTGGGGCATTCTTTACCACAAGGCAATCAACGAGGCTTAGTGTAGGTTGTAAAATTTTGACACTTGTGTCTGTCATGACAAAAACGTAAAGAAACGACTCGAAAACAACGTGTGATATACTTTCATTTTTATTTGAGCTAACAACACTCCCGAAGGATTACACTTTAAGACTGCGCAGCGCCTAGTGACAAACAAAAGGACAATAAACTACAAATTGTAACAATTCCGGGGATTTAGTGAATATTCCCAAGCATCCCATAGGTGCTTCGGTGCAATAAAACCATAAAAGATGGCATCATTCCTACAAATTCCCGAGGTAAAGAAAACAACACAGTCAATTATATCACAGAAAACGGCGCCCTGAAGCAAGTTTTAAGCGTTTTCATCTATTGATAAATCTGATATTACCTCTACACTAAACCCACACGAGTATAAAATCCAAGACTTACTGATTGCAGGATTTCTTGCTGACGTCTTTTCAAGCCTTCAGATCCGAGATGATCAGTCTTCATGATCGCGAGAAGCTACAGGTCGATGACCCCATTATCTGCGGTTTTACTGTCTGCTGACTCGGATTTTGTTATTGAGCCATGGTCAAGTCTTTCATTATTCTACAATAAGCGTTCTTGTCCCCACAGATTGGTAATACACCACATGACTGCCCATTGTGGAGAATCCATGCACATTACCGACGTCCGCCACGTAAAAACGCACCCTTCCCCAATCAAGCTGCAGTTCCGCGAGATCTAGTTTATAGACCTGATCGATCAGAGGTCTCTTTATAATACTCTGTTCTTATAGGGAGTCATTTGTTCGGCTTTTAATGGCAGACGGTAAAATTGTCATTACGTCAATGGGACCAACGTGTCGTCTGAAGGTCGGGACAGTGACGTCAGCCTTGCTTTCGTGTATTGCCACCTGTGCGTTCGTTCGTTCATTCTTTCATACGCGTTTCATTCAGCAATTCATTCACTCAGTCCTTCAAGCTTCCACTCTTTAATACGCTAAAGTCATTCAGGTTTTCATTCATTAATTAGAATATCTGATCCCTTCAGATTGTTTGTTTGTTTGTTTGTTTGTTTGTTAACTTAGTAAATAAGGAACCGGGTCTGCTACTAACATGATTCTCCAGTGATTATTTGTATCATTATATTGAGGAGTAACTGTTACGTCTATGTTGTTTAAACTGATACGTATGACCGATGCTTAACTCATGTAACATGAAAAAAACTTCTAGTATGTTTTAGCCATGTAACTTTAAAGAACTATATTTGCTCGAAAAAGTTCTAGTAAAACCTCGTGAAGTTTCTTCAAAACTTACTTTAGAGCTCAGTAAACCAGTCATGATAAACTGATGAGTCTACAAAAATGAGCAAAAACGCTCCTCATTTGTTATCAGACCTTTATCCGTGCATCAGGTGCCCATTAGTCTGAGCGGAATTCACGGGTATCGAACCTGGCAAAGTAATTCGTGGACTGATATCTACGCTGAAGTGCAGTTAGGAGACTGAGAAAAGATAACGGCATTTTGCCAGCGCCCTTCACCGTCAACTTTTCCACATGAAGAATGTCTGACTACGTTGTAATTATCGACTTCAAGTTTCTTTTGTCAAAATGTCAAGAGTCAAAAAGTTCATTTTCCGCTCTGTTGGTTTTGAAAAAGATATTGATATTTCATTCGGCAATGATACGTCACGCAGAGAAGAGCCTGTAATACCTTGTGATGATCACTAACTTGATTAGTTACTGTAAACCCTCCCAGTCAAACGACTATGAACACTACTAACAACTTTGAAAGGGGTATCGGTTCTAGTACTAGTAATAAGGAAATGGAACCTACAGTGGGTGTCACTGGAAGCTATGCGGAAAAGCATGATGTACAAAATGACTAATAAACTGGTTGGTGTACCAGCTTCTAAGTACCTAATACCGGCTCAGAAAAGAAGAAGAAATAGACATGCCTTCATTTAAATATCAAAGTGTTCAACTAATTGATTGAGATAAAAAAGATCACGTTTATTAGATCTTTAAAACTCGTTGGTGCGTTACGCCGAGGGACTGTTATACCGGCTATACAGATACAGATCGTTGGTTACTGATTTGACTCTTACATAATCTTGAAGGAATTCCCCAGGAATGATATTGGCACTGATGGACTTCCCGTCCCCATGTTTGGGAGGGAAGGACGTGACCCGAATGACAGTGTCGGAATGAAATGCTAGGCATCGGTGTAGGTATACGACAGTATGTGCACGCTGGGTACCTGGGACGGCGCCGTCCTTGGTGCTGAAACGTTTATCAGGCGTCCAGACATACAGATACCTACATGTACATTAACGTGTACAGTACTTCATTATCTTTTTATTGCAATATTTCATGACTAGCCATGGCGATGGCACATATAAGTTATTTCAACTTATTTTATGCCGCCACCAACGCAGAGGACAAATACAGGACAGGACAATACCCATTTTCACTTGAGTTAAGTGAGGAAAGGCGTCTAAAGTGTATTTCCAAATGGCACAAAATCGGTGGCATGTCAGGACTCGAGCCCGAGACTTTGGTTCCGAGTCGCACTCTGCCGTTACGCCACACGACGCCACAGTGATTCCCTTTACATTGGCAAATCTACAACACGTATTAAACGTTCTTATTCTGTTTTTGTCTCTTTTGATCTCCTGTGTATCTTCTAATACCAAAATAAATGCTCATATTCACACCTAACCCGACAGCAAAAGTTAAACTGTGATTTTCGTGTTCCTAGGCGCTGACCTCCACAACTAAACCATTCAGACATGCATGTTCTGTTCTCAAAAGCCGGTATTTAAAACACAGCTTTCCTCCGATCGTCTGTTGCGATGTGGTTTACGCTGTTGATTTCAATCATTGCCGTATACATTTTCCTGCCAAGGAATTAAATAATCTCTGGTATTATCAAACAATGAATTAGACTCGTGTTGTAAATTCTATTTACGTGTATCGATCATAGTGCAACTTATCTCGAGATGTTTTTGATTTCCAAGCTGAACCGACAGCCGTTAAAACGCCATTGAGGAGTAGATAGATATTTTTACTCGGAGACAAAGCGCCGCCCCCGCCCCGGGAGGTAAGATTCATGAACACATTTTCCGCCGCTCGACGCCACATAATGGCACAATCTCACCAACTCACTCGTGACAAACCACCTTTTCGGGACGCTAATACGTGATTTACGGAGATCTAATTCCGATAATAGTATCGAGCCTTTCCTCAAGCCTGATGGATAGAGCGTTAGTCCCGTATCATCATACTCTCGTGTCCTGAGAACACATTGTTTTGAGGCTCCCGGCAGCATCATACCTCAACCATAACGTCCCAGAGAGGATTCGTCTGTAGTATAGAATTTACAGAAGAACAAAACTAGGTATTAAGCAGAACTATTAGTCACGCTATGTGTTGTTACTTTAACTTTCTTGTGATATACCTAGATGGCGTTCCCAAAGCCGTGGACGGAGACATGTATCGTGTAAAAAAAAGGTCAACCATCATCACGAACCCATTTTGGTCTGAAGGTGCAGATAGGACGGCTGGTCATGCCGAAAATTGGCGCAGGGACGTCATCTGGTTAGACCTTGGCAGTCATGTCTGAGGAATCATAGGATAGAGGAGGGAGGGGGCGGAAAAGGGTATCGTGTGGCTAATTATAAAAAGAAACTTTGAAACTATACTCATACGGGAAAACTTTTCCTCACTATATCAAGCAAATCAGGAACTCACAATTCAGTGTTGGATAAGGGACTATCGGAAAACATTGCTATCTTTCTCCCGAATATCAGCTTGGAGATAAGATGCACTAGGTGGGTTGTCTTGTTTCAGAAGACGTTGTAGCGAACTAACTTCTATATTTGTTCTTTCAGGATGCAACAAACTTAACCACAGTCATGTACCAAACAACAAGGTATACGTAAAATAGACAGTTTATTTTTACACTTATAAACATATAAAACACACCACAGTCAATGCATACATACAACTAGAAACTGCCGTACCACTGGCGTTTCAGACGGTACATGTACATCACTTATCCATCATCCCTTCGTGCTTTTTGGAACCTCGAGCGTAAGTGTCATTAACATAGGGCGTAACTGTACGGATGTATACTGGTGGTATTACATTTAGTGTCATTCTTAAACATGCTGTCATGAAACCAAGAAGGTTTAAATGAGATTTAAACCTCCCTGATGAAACCAAACCATCATAATGTAGATCAAGAGCTTGCTCGAACCCAGCTATGGTTCGCCCTGGGTACGACAGACAGGCCTAATACATGTACATGTTAGCTACTATCGAAACTACTGTTGAGCTTATGGCACAGGCTTTTGACCATGTACGTGCACCACCTTGCGGAACAACCGAGTTAGTACAGCCGCCCTAAGTTTTCATCCTACGCTGTCACAGGATCCCACTCGGGGAGTCATAGGACATCAGATACGTACCGTCTGATGTATATATACATCACATCGTGCCATACAACATCTATAGTATGTCTTCTTCCCGAACAAATTTATCTGTACAGTCACCATTTCAACGACATCAAAGTACTACAAATCAATGTGATTATTCGTAGCCCTTCATAATAGTTAACAATATGAAATAGCATTACGTACAGAGGCATATTCTAATTTGGTCTAGGCGTAGGCCAAAGTTGCACAATGTGTAAATCAACCTCAAAGCAGATGCGTCGTTTCGCCTCCCTCTGTGCGTCTTTGTGAGACCAGTAGACCAGTCTGATAGACGCACAAAAGAAATCAATACCGCGTATCTGCTTGAATATCGTATGTTTGTACATACAGAAAGTAGCAGCAAGATTAATGGTACAGTACCTACAGATCACCGTGTTTCCCACCCGACTTTCTCAATATACAACAGCCGATGGCACATATTAATGTTATTTCCTGCTTCGTTGGGACTGGCGCCCCTCAGCAATAGGGAATGACAACTTTGTTTATTGTTCCATCTAATGACTGGTGTAGTTAAGTTTGGACGGCATCGAAAATCTATTATCATACAATAAAGGCTGTTCCATTAGGAAAGTCAAGGGCAGCCAGGATGAAAGAAATTTGGTGGGGAGGTTAGGAAATGATGTGATTTTAGAATAGAGCAGCCCTAGGGATCAGCCATGGTAAGATATATTTGGCACACCTCAGACAATCATCACATGTATAATACCTCAAGAGATCCAGCTCACAGGCAAATAGTTCAGAACGGGTAGTCCTTTTAAATGAAGGGGGCGTAGAAAAATTTAAGTAGCGTCTGAAAATTGTGTGTTCTACAACACGGTGGCCAGTAGGGCGACCATGCACGTGGCGACCATGACTGCGATGCTTTGCCGCGTGGTAGGAGCGCCGCCTGTCAGCTGCTGGGTATTGCACTGGCTGGACGTGCAGCACTGGTAGCAGAGGGTGGACCCACCAGAGGCGGACTGGCAGTACTCGCTGTTGTAGCCGTTGGACGAAGACATGCAGAGGTAGTTTGTCCCTTCGAAGCTGCTGCATC